CAAGGGGCCGCGGCCGGGGGGGGGCGTCGCCGCGGGATCGCCGCTCGGGGTGCGGGGCGCCCTCCCGCGTTGGGAGCTGACCGGTTATTGGTGGGGGGGGGCAGGAGGGATGGGGGCTGCGCCGGGGTGAGGGTAGTGTAGACCCGATCGGATCGGGCTGGAGGAAGGGAGGCGCCGAAGACGGAAGGGGACCGGTTCGAAAAGCGAGTGTGGGCCGCGGGAGGCCCGGTGGGGACAGTGCGGGGCGGCGGCCGAGTGCGAGGTGGGGCGGGGGGAGTCGAAGTTGTCAGACCGGCTCCAAGTGACAGCAAGACCCCGAGCTCTGGGCCCGGCCTGGTTCTGCCCTGCCAGCCCCGCAGCCTCTCCTCCCCGGGGGCCGGGTCAGGTCGGGCCCCACGGGCCCGCTCGGCGGTGAAGAGCCGGACAAAGGCGGCGCCCGAGCGGGCGCAGGTAGTGGCAACGGGGAGGGGAGCGAGTCCGGGGCACCCACCCCAAGGGGCGGGCGACGGGGCCGGACTCTGCCCTAGGGACTGCGGGGGCCGGGGCGTCCGCCGGGAGGAGCTGCGGCACTGGCTCTGGGCTCGTTGCTGGATCGCCTCGAGGCTCTGGGAAGAGTGGGGTCGACTTAGCCAAGGCGGAGGGGCAGGGGTGGGGGTGTGTGCACTGTGTGCCCGGACCGGTGGCGAAGGGGCTGGTAGATTCAGGGAGGCCAGCAGAGATTGTTAGCAATGAAGGGGTTTCAGTAAGTCTGCCTTCAGGCAGAGGTTTAACTCCACCTGGGATGTCTCCTAGTGGCCCATTGTCGGCAGTCTTAAGAGCACAGAAGACTACTTGAATCAGGGCTAAGGGACCCCACACACACCACCACCACCACCACCATGCACACACCCCCAGTGTGCTCCGGCCGTGTCTCTGCTACTGCCTGCAGCAGTTTTCCTTAGTCAAGAAGGTACCCACATAGGGAAAGAAGAAGCTTGAGTCCATAAATCCAGGCAGAAATTTGATGACGAGATAAAACAAGGTTTCCAGTTCTCTTTTGTGCCACCTGAGACATTACCTTCTTCACCTCCATACCTTCTAAAAAAAGAAAAAAGCTCAGAGGGACCACGTGTCCTCGGGACATCACTGTCCTTGGACACTTAGGACTTCACTGGCTTAAGGACTGCATGCCTCTATCCCCACCAGTGACTAGCTCTAGGCTATATGCTGTTTACCTATTTGTGAAAATCCACCCGGATCCCTTTTCTCCTCTCATGTGACCATGTTGGGAACAGGAAGAGAGGAGAGAATTGGGCTGAGACAGCTGAGAGCATGGCCTTTTGCTGAGAAAATCTGCCTTGGAGTGGTACACCAGTGGGGTCAGTCAGGAGCTGCACTCAGCTGTGGTTGAATGTAAGACCACCCAGAGAAAGCTGCCTATCTGCCAGAGGAGTAGTAGGGCAGCTTTCTGTCATACCACCCCCATCTCTCTCCCCAGGAGGGTCTAGACCCTGGCCTGATAGAGTTGAGGCTTGTGGGGAAATGGGGTATTACTTCAGTCAAGAGACTGAAGTTTGAGAGAATTTAATTGTATATCTAAAATCTAGAGAAGGCTGAAGAATCTTTTCTTTCAGCGGGGTTGTACTGTATGTATGTGACTTATATTGGTGGCAGGCATAAGGGTGATCTGGTCTGGGTGCTGGAATATGAAAGGGAGTTGCCAAAGTAACATTTTCCTCTATGATAGGGCTCTTACCTGGCAGGGACCCATGCCAATCAGATCAGTGTTTAAGAGGGCTGGCTCTGGGGAGTTGAGACATTAATGAGGTGTGTTTTCTTTATTTTCTTTCTCCCTCTCCCTTTCCAAGATCTTACTCTATAACCTTGGCTGGCCTGGAGTTCATAGCCCATGCTGATCTGGAACTCGCAGAATCCTCCTGCCTCTGCCTCTTGAGTGCTGGGATTACAGGTGTGCAGCACCATGCCAGTTTTGGTTTGCTCTTTTCATTTTTGTTACTCTGTCATTCCTGTGTCAAGTCTTGTGTTGTCATTGCCTCATTTTTTCTTCCTGCTTCCTCTAGCCTTTCTGATCCAGTCTATACACAGCTACCAGATCATCCTTCCCAAAGCACCCCTTCCACTATTCACTTCCTTACTCATTAGATTGTGGTAGCTCCCTTTTTCCTGAAGTCCCTGAGGCTATTCACTGGTCATGCCATCCAGACTTGTCTCCCTGCCCTTTGCGCCTGGCTCCTACCCTTTACTTTCCTCCTGCTTGCCCATTGTCTCGCTGTTGTTCAGGCTAGTAGCTGGTAACAATGGATTTTTGAGCATAGTATCTTGAGTGTTATTGTAGGTTGGAAGTTTTTGTATTTTGGGGGGTGGTTTTGGTCTTTGATTTTTTTGAGACAGTCTCCCTGTAGCCCCAACTGTCATGGAACTTGCTATGTAGACCAGGCTGGCCTCAATCTCACAGAGCTCTACCTGCCTCTGCCTCTGCCTCTGCTGGAATTAAAGGTTCTAAAATTAATGGCGGGCGCCACTGTGCCCAGTGGAAGTTGAAGGACAGATATTATAATAATGAGTTAAACCTGTGTGTGTTCGTGTGACTAGTCCAGTATTCCTCCTGGCACTGTGTACGTCATTTTTGTTGAATGGATAAATGTAGTTAGTGGGAATAGAAGGGAAATCTTTGGCTTCTCTAGAAGTGTTCAGTATGGAGTCAGTCCTTGTGGGTATCTCTAACCTTTTCTGTCAAAGGTATGTAAGTAGGGTATGTTTGTGGGGCTCTAGTATGGGCTGTTTAGCTGCTGTTTCTGGTACATCTGCTGGTGAAGAGTCAGTTCTGTAGATTGTTCACATGACACCATAAAGACAGGAATTGGAAAAGGGCTGTAATCCTGTTTTCCTCCTGTCCCACGAAGCCACTCTCTACCCAGCTTTGCAGTTCTTTTGCAATTTGCTTGTTGTCCATGCTAAATGAATCCATATGTTTTATCTCTTTTCATCTGGGTGTAAATGAAGGAGAAAACACTATTCAGAGAACAGGAAAGAAAAATAATCCTGGTCAGTCCTTTAAAACCCATAGTCAGGGTTCATTTTATATGAAGTGTTTTTACTGACTTTGGGGGCTCAGAGTGCCCCATGTTGGACCTATCATTAAGGAATGCTACCATTCTAACCCACTCAGAACTTGGTTTGTGCTCACCATCAAGCCTGAATCATGGGGAAATGGGAAAGAAGATTGGTG